CTCTCCCAAAACTTACTAAAGATTGAGCTAAATCTTGCTGCTACTCAATTGATTACGTGTTTCAGTCCGCCTAATCAATAGTTGGGTAACAATATATAAAAATCATGTGATATGACGTCATTTTGACTATTCGACTTTTTACCCCAATAGTCGAAATGATTTCGACCATTTCGGATATCTGAATGATTTTTTTTGACTTTATGTATAATTGGAATGATTCTTTTATCATTCCTTTAGAACAATGTTTAATTATTCTATTAGAACAATTCTTTTTATCATTCCTTTAGAATAATGTTTAATCATTCAATTGGAATGATTCTTTTATCATTCCTTTAGAATGATATTTTATCATTCTATTAGAACAATTTTTTTCATCTTTCTTTTAAGAATAATACATTATTGTTCTTTTGGAATGATTCATCATCTGATAAAAGAAGATGCATCCAAGTAACTAGGTTTAAACAGAGTCTTTTCATACTTACAGATTTATAAGTATAAAAAATATCACATGAAATCCACCATGAGAAAGCTACAAGGTATTTACAGATAGTAACCTATACCTTTTACCTGATTATCAGGGAAACATGAATCTAGATGAAGCGAACTTACATTAAGTAAATATCATAACATAGGCCTCTTGTGGTTCAATTTCAAACTTATTTGAACCAATAAGAATACTAGATCAAGTATTAACTACTATCACACCATATAGAAGATGTTTAGAAAAATTAAAGTATATATCACGCTGAATTTGCATATAATCTTCAACGACAGAAGATTTGCAGAAAAGCAAAGGCTAATTAAAAGAGAGTATATTTGTTTAGGAAGGAGAAGGGGTCATTATATAAGATGTGTTTATCCAAAATATATTAATCATGATCGTCAGTTAAGATACTACTTTTTAGTAAACAAAAAAGAAAAAGAGAAAAATGAAAAAAAATTTTTGAAAGGAAGTGAAGAAAAAATATTTTAATAAAAAACAACACTGTTTAGACTATTTTGAAAATTTTTATGTGAATAGAAGAGGTGTGTAAAAAAAGTGAGGAATAATTTTGAAAGGTAGGATTTTTTGTTTTATTTGTAGGTTAAGTCGTAACCGCTGTTGAACGGGCATTTTTTTAAAGTAAAAATTTTTGGAAAAAATCTAATGAGAAAGAGGAGAGAGGAATTAAGTGGAATTGAATGATAGTTGTTTCATATGAATCGAAGCAATATTGATTGAGATCATATATCTTTAGTTTTTTTTTGTTTTTTTATATATAAAAAATCATGTGATATGACATTATTTAACTATTTCGACTTTTCATTTTGATTTTGACTTTTGGGTTTTCATTTTAACTTTATATATAATTCAAACTATCAGAAATGACAATAATAATAAAATCTGCATTTAAACTGTCTGAGATGATTTTTATTATTAATAATAATAATAAAAGTTACATCTGAACTGTCAGAGGTAACTTTTATTATAAATACTAAACATGTCGTATATCGATCATAACAAATAAAATTATATAGATATTGATCCTATAATCAGCAAAATTTTATATGATTTTTTGCCATTTTTTTAACTTCGTATATAAGATAACTTTATGACATTTTTAACTATTTTAAAATTTCTGTCTTAAATAAAATGTTCATTCACTTTATAAAAACATTTTTATAGATTTTAAAAGTTGAAAAGTTTGGTAGTTTTAAAAAGATTCCTTTAATATTATATATTGAATTTAATATGTAAAGGTATAATAGACAATTTTTAATATAAAAAATATATTATACTGACTTAAGGTTTTGAGTTTTAATAATTTTTTTTTACTGTTTAATTATTTTTTTTTTATTTTAAAAAATAATATAAATAAATAATATTAAATAAAATTACTATTATAGATATTTCATATTTATTTAGAATAATATATTAGTTTAATATAATGTAATATATTTAAAACTTTTTTTCTTTATCTTTATTAATTAAAATTTACAATATATTATTTAATGAATTAATATTTATTTGATATATTAAATTCTTTTTATATAATAATTATAAATTTCAAATTTAAATCTGTCTTTTTTTTTTGGTTTAAAATTTTAAATTTTAAAATGAATTTTTTTAAAATATTATAAATAAAAAAATTGTTTATTATAAATAAAAAAGATTTATAAAATATATATTATACATTTTAGATAATCTGGTATTACTTTAAAATAATAACCTTATTTTTTTTTAATAATTAAAAAAAATTTTAAATTTAAAAAATTTTTTATTATAAATATCCATAAAATACAAATGCAAATATGGTATCACAATCGGAGAAGAATTAGACATATTATTAATACGTTGTTAACTTACTATTCCAATCCAAATTGATATTCTACGTAAAGTATCCGGGTACTAAAATATCAATATACAGTAAATGAACGATCACACGATTATCCACCATATATAGACCCTCTTCCGATCAAAGTACCCTACTTTTAATAAAAAAAATTAATTTTTAAGATTAATGATGGTAATACTATTATTATATCAATTTTTTAAACATGATTTTAGATTAACCATTTAATTCAAATATAAAGTTCAAATTTATTTGTTTTTCCTAGATAAAAAATTACCAAGATAGTTTGATTACAAGGCCAATAGCATACCCCGAGAAAAGAAAAAAAAATATCCAAAAAACTTATGCCCTGACTTATTTTATGAATGTTTAATGTTTAAGATTTCTTTGCTGATTCATTATTTCATCTTGTATATGATTCAAAAGAGAAATGATTTCTTCAAAAAGATCCAAGAATTGCTGAAAGCTTTCAAAATCTCCTTCATTATGATGCGAAATTAATATACTATAAAGAAAAACTGCCAAAATTGTCCTGAAAAATAAGAAAATCAATTAATCATATTGAACATCACAATATATCCGAAAATTAAAAAATTAACCACCAGTAAAGCGATTGTCCAGCAAGAGATGGTCCAAGCCAAGCCGCAATACTAATTAGAGGATAATAATTCCGTCCTAATCGACCTTTGGAAATTTTGGATAAAATTGGATGAAATGTTAAATTTGTAATATGCGTTTGGATATTCTCAGTTTTCATCTATATTTAATAATAAAATAAAAAAATATAAAAATGGATATGTGAAGAGTGTGCGTTACAAGCTTTATCATATCTGAATTATATAAATTTAAACCTTATTAGCTATAGATTCAAATTCTTTTCCATTAGTTTTTGTTAATTGAATTATGAATTCAAGATATTTTATAATTTGCGTCATTAATGTCATAACTCTACGCAATAAGCTAATCCCTTGGTCGTTTTTCCAAGTCCCAGTCCCATAAGTACAAGCCATCATCAATGGATAAACAAATGTTGTAACCGATTCAACAAGCAACATGTGAGCCTCAGAAAATTCTGTTAATATTAACGTTTCTTTATCAATCAAAATCCATTGAGGACTTTCCATAATTTGAACAATATCGTCTTCGGGTAAATATTTAATTGAAAATTCAAAATCAGAAAGGTTTTCATTTGATGAGGTTGGTTCGCAAAGATTTACATCTTCATTAAGTATACTTGATTCAATTAATGATATTTCTTTTTCAAATGTACTGAATAGTTTATCTTTATTTTCACATGAATTAGCATTTGATGTTATCCAGCACATTGATATAGCGAAATTTGTAAATGATTCGGAAAGCTCAACTATCTGTTCCTTTTTAGACATTATTTCGCGAAATATCTCGTGCAATGGATTAAATTCTTCCTCATGTTCCGGAGTTTTTCCCATACAACGAATATAGTCATAACGTTCTCTAGACCGTTCATCTGCCAGAACTGTATAAGCTTCACTTATCAAAATAAATTGATTATTGATTTCATTAATGGAAGCCTTTCTTTTATGCTTATCGGGATGGTATTTTAAAGCTAATTTCTTATAAGCTTTCTTTATCTCTTCAGTAGAGGCAGACGAAGTGAGTTCTAAGGCTTTGTAGTAGTCATATTGTGGAAGTGTCTTATTCATGTTGAAAATTCAAAAAGTCGACAAGTAACAGAACAAGAGGGTTATTTAGCGTAGTATATAAATCATATGACTAAGCAATATTTGTATCGTTACAAATAAATTCATATGAAAATTATTATACAATTTAACCTTATTTAACATAATATGTGCATAAACCACTCGCAAAAAAATTTTTTTTTAGCGAGATATTCTACTTGAAAAAAAAGTGCTTATCTAGTTTGATTACTTTTTTTTTTTTTTTTTTCTAATTATATGTCATTTCAATTTTAATATTATATGTTTTAACTCAATGATAAGTTTTTTTTCTTAAGAATTAATAGTTTATATATAATAATATATTATAAATACAATATTATTAAGTATATCAAAAACCTTTTAATAAACTATTCAAATAATAAAAACACGTTTCTTTAGAAAAACTACAAATATTAATTAATTTTTTATTAAATTGCAATAATCTGATATTCTATATCGGGGTGTAATATTAGCATTTGATTACAATTTTTTATTTAATAAAATAAAATAGTAAAATATGTAGAAATCTAAGAATTTTGTTATATAATTAAAAATTAAGAAATGTAAAATTCAATTCATATTTCCACCTATTCTCATGTTGTTCTTAATGTTTTTTCTTTCCCTTTTTTGTGGTCACAATTTTAAAAGCCCCCGCACTACTCACCGAATTATCATCCTTTGTATTATTACTATTATTAGTTCCTATTTCTTTGCTTGATTTTCCTTCTGTATGAGTATTCAATAAACTACTTAATGGCAAACCGCTAGCGTCTGCCTTACGTCTCTTGACAAATTCATCAGCAAATCTTCGACCATCTAGAATTGACGAATTAGCATAAATCGAATCTTGTATGATTTCAATAGTGGCGGAAGGAGGGTCAAGTGGAAATGTAAGCAACATCTGAATAAAATCCTCAACTATTTAAAAAAATATCGAATGTTTATACATTAATTTTATTTATAAATAAATAATATAAATGGATAAAAAAAATTTGAACAGAAATTTACCGTTCACATCATTCAACCCACGTAAAGTTTGACGACACCATTTTAAAAATTCTTCCGAAGGAGAACGAGGCGTAAAATGTTCATTGGAATTGTTAGCATTAATAACACTGCCGTTGCCTGAAGTCTTTGACAAATTCAAGTTGACAGAGGTTGCTTTATTGCTATTTTTTAAGTTTTCTGATGGCTTGCTTAATTGACTCTGTGGTCTAATTTAAGAGCAATGATATTTAATTAATATCAGGAGAAGGCTATTAAATATAAAATATAATTTTATGAAAATGATGAAAAATACCTTAAACCATTTATACCCTTATGCGAGTCCATATCCCAAGCTATGGCAGAATCTTTACCGCTGGGCTTTGATATCACATTTATAGTAGCGTTATTAGGTTGAGGAGATACTGCAGTAATTGCGCGATTGCTCGACTTGCTAGCAACAGTTGTCCATGCAGTATTCATAGAAATAGATCCGGGCTTCTTTAAGTTTAATAATAATAATCAAGAAGTATGTCAAGAATTTATTATAATTCATATTTTTTATACAAAGTTTGTTGCTTACCTTTGCTCCATTTCCTGTGGCTACTGTATCTGCATAGCGTTTTCCCATACTATTTGTGGCAGCTGATCCAGCTCCAGAATTGGATCCAATTAAAGCTTGTTGCTGCATTTCACGTATTCTGTTACGTCTTTTCATTGCTTCTTCCTCTTCTTTTTGAATTTCTCTAAGCGTTTTTTTAGGAGCAGAATTGTTTGACTGCCATGCTAGTGTAGTAACAACAGGAGAAGTAGAAAGAGAGGACGAACTAGATGTATTGGATGAATTTTGACCAATGATTCCCCAAGAAGAATTTGAGGGTGTTGATTCTTCCTTTGAAATCATTACGGTGGAATGAGTAGTAACCGTGGACGCAGCAGCTTTACGTTCAGCGGATTTGCGAGCTTCCATTTCTTGAATTTCGCGTAGTGAAGGAGTTTTGTGAGTACTATGATCATCATCTTTTGCCCATGGAGCTGATGAAGGAGTGACAGGACTATTATTTCCCCATGTTAATCCATTATTCTTTGGTGGTTGAGGATTCTTGACAATAATTTGGTTGGAAGTTTGTTGAGCGATGGAAGCCAATTTTTCTTTTTCTTGCTTTTTTTTGCGTTGTTCCTCTTCAGCCTGAATTTCTCGTAATGAGGGTTTTAAACGATACGATTCTTCTTTCTGAATAAAATGCGAAGGCATTTCATTGGTAATGTTCTTTGAAGGTGTTTCAACTTTTTGTTCGCTCATTACCTTTTCATCGACCTTTTTTGAAGGTATCTCATCTCCGAGGAGAGGTTTTGTCATAGATTCAACCACATCATTAATTTTACGATCAATGGACGGATCTTGACCATTGCCATCCATGATTTCATATTGTCTCTCATTATGTCGACTAGAAATCTGATCAATATGTGATGATTGTTGTAATCCAATATTGTTTTCTTTTCTCATACTGAAATATCCGATCTCATCTGACTGTGGAACACGCGAAGAAGTAGATCCGACACCAGGTACTCCCCATGGTGATAAGGGAGTTGGTTGTTCAACAGAAGTTGTTGGCCAACCTGCAGATCTCGTTAAAGCGTCAACAAACGGAGGATTTGGCGCATTTGTAATAGGAGCAGATACAGGCCCAGATAACCCTATATAACTTTGTTGTTGCTGCCTAATAAAAGTGTCCGGATAAGCATGTTGACTTTGTTGTAATTGTCTCTGTTGAAGCATCACATATTGTTGACGCTCAATATGTGCTCGTTGATGATCCAAAAAATTTTGAGGTGGTGAAACATTGAAGGAAGCAGCATTATTGTTAAATAGTGGTGGTGAATTAGGAGCTTGCACACGAGGAGACAAGTTTTCGTTGTTAGATGTGAAACCATCTGGTTGTCCCCATGCATTATTATTTGTTGAGCTCAGTTCTCCCCATCCTCCCCCACTAGAAACGTCATTTCGCCCAAAAACGCTACCAAACTGATATCTATCAAATGGTGTATTTGGCACCGAAGTCGTTCCACCAAAAGGATTAAATCGCTGTTGATTATTATCCAAAAACAACTGTGCTGTACTAGGCGAATTAGGAGCAATCCAAGATCTTTGGAATGGATCATTAACCAAACGTGATGGATTATTAGGCATAGAAATAGTTAAAGGAGGTCTTGAACCAGGCAGTGGCGCAGAAAAAGGCTTTTCATCATCACCTGTCTTTCGTATCAAAACACCTAAAGGTTCAAACGTAGTATCTTCAACCCTTTTAACTAAAAGACTATGAACAAAAAATCCACCCTTATACCATTCATTCATTTCCAGACTACTAAATGGCCCTAAATGATTTTATTAAATATGAACATTACTGTGAAAACCATCAAACAACAGCTAAAAATGATTTAAAAAATTTTAAACACACCTTGAATATTACCACTCGGATCACGGTACAACCATTTACATTGCTCGAGCGCTACTTTTCTTGGTTCAGCATTTATTCCTGTACCAGCAAAAAGACTTGCAACCCCAGAATTACTATCACCAAAAACATTACTAGTACCAATATTTGAATGTGCGGAAGTAAATTTACTAGTTTTGCCTGTTGGGGATAATGGTGGTGTATTGCCTCCTAAATTTGAATAAGCGAACGCTTCCTTCAACACATCATCATCTTGGTCTAGGTCAAAACGATGATGTAATAATAGTGGTTGGTGATGTTGTAGCAATTGCTGTTGACATTGTTGTTGCTGATGCTGTTGCTGTTGCAGTAATTCTTGTTGATCTTGTAATATTTTTTTTTTTTGCTGCTGCAGTAATAACTGTTGTTGTTGTTGCTGCTGTTGTTGTTGTTGTTGTTGCTGATGTTGTTGCAATTGTAGCTGTAATTGTAATTGTAACTGTTTTTGTTCATTTTCTTGTCTTTGTTGTATTTGTAACTGTCGTTGTTGCTTTTCTTGTTTATATGGTTCCTTATCCGTATCTTGATGACGCTGCAATCGTTGCAATATTAAATTTTGTTGTTCCAATGTTAATTGTTCATTTTCTCTCTCTAATTCAAGTCCATGATCATTATCATGCTTAAATTCCTGTTCAATGTCTTTTTCATCATCTTTAGATTCGCAATAACCTTGCTGCCGTGACAACTGATGTTCTTCTTCATGTCTTTGTTGCAAATGTTGAAACGAGTTTTGTTCCTCTTGGTGAGATTCTGTTTGGTTCTGTTGTAATGATGATTCTTTAGTTTCTTGATTCGGGTGACTTTGCGAACCTTGCCAATCTAGTAAAACTTTATCTTCTTGAACTTGACATTCTTGTTGCGTTTCCTGTTTAAGACCAAGTTGCATCAAAGTGTTTTCTTGCAAATCTTCCGTAAAATCATGTCTCGTGGAATCTTCAATGTCATTCATAGATTTATTGTTCATTTCTTTTCGTTCTGATTTGGACGTCACAATTTCATTTTGGGACGAATTAATGTAGGCATTTGAATCCGATCGGTCGGTCGGATTTTTCTTTTCAAGCTGCATTGGGAATACATAATGTCATACCAGCTTGATTTCTTAAAATTAGATTTTCAATCATTCGCTCACTAACCTCTTGCTCGATTTTCTTGCCACGTTCGGTATCCTCTTTCTTAACTTTATCTAAAGTCTCATCTTCTACATTGTTTCCAGGGATTCTGAAAACCCCATTATCAAAAGTTCCTACAGCATGTCGTGTAACACCATTCCAACCTGGATCATCTACTGATGTTGAATTGAGAGATCTAGGTGGACGACTGCTGCGAGGACTTGTTCGTCCACTAAGTACTCCACCAATAATACCACCGAAACGTTCGCTTCTGGGTGAAGTTAGTCCACTGCTAATGTGTTTCTCGCCACGAGGAGAAAATGGTATTCTTTCTCTCTCTATACGTTCACCTCCAGTAACCGTTCCAACCGACGCATTGGAAACAATACGTCGAGTAAGCTCACTATTAACAGACACGCCTGATAAAAGCTATAAGGTTGAGGAATTTTTTTTTGTGATATTTAATAAAATGACAATTATAATAAAATTAAAATTAATAATATAATATATTTAAATTTTTAATGAAATAAAAATTTCAAGTTGAATTCCGATGTTCAATGAACATTTTGCCCGTTTAATCCAAAGTATATAAATGAAATTTTTAAAAAAATTGTTTCTTGTATATAAAATAAAATATCCAAAAGTGTTTTGATACCTTTTGTTCCTGTTCTGTTAACACTATCATGGCCATTGGTTGTAATGCTTCCTCACTTGTAACATATTCATGTCTTTCAAATTCCAAAGGCAGTCCTACTGGCTTATATAATTTAAGCATGAATTCCTTTGAATATTTGAAAGGGTTTAATGCAGATTCACCCGCACCGGGTACTTCAGATTTCTCGGACATTTCACTATGAAGTGAACGATTTGACGTAGTATTGTTGCTATTAGCAGCAGCCACCGAAGACCAAGAAAATGTACTCGTTCCATTACTATTTGTATTATTTGTAAGATTTGTATTGATATTTGCACTTGCAGAAATGGTAGACGAATTGGTCGTTACATTAGATGAAGACAAAGTAGGAGAAGTAGAACGATTGCTTTCGCTCGTAGGAGTCTTTGGAAAACGTCTCATCCTTTTAAAGTTTAAAATTATTAAAAATTGTTTAATCAAAATTTCAAACCTTTTATTTAATTCCCAGGAAAATTCAAAAATTATTTACTCAACTTACCATTCTGGTCCGAAGTTCATGGTATTGCTTGTAGCCATTTTATTTAACGAGTTTTTAAAACGAGTTTTAACGGAAGTTAAATTCTTCGATTCACTTTTTAAAAAAAATCAAGTACTGTTACTAACAGCGTTTAAAAATAATAAATTTGCGAAAAAGTAAAAGCGCAAAAAAAAAAAAAAAAAAAATGTGTTTAAATTATCATTGGACAATAACGCTAATCACGTTACTATATAGATCAGAAATTCAAATATATTATTTTTTATTTTTGTCAAATGATATCACAAATATTATTTATTCTAATATACATACAGAGCCCAAAACAAATTTAAATACAAGACAATACTACTAATAAGAAGTGAATAAATAATTATTTATCTAGCGAAATGTTTCATTTAGTAATCTATAATATCAATGCATGTCATAATTACTTATCCTTCTTGTCCGAAATCTACAGTGAATTTCACATGTTGACTAATATCATCTGCATTAACTGTAGGTCTGGCAATTTTTATGGCTTTTTCGAAATCCTTCAGAGTTAAATCAGGTTCTAATAATTCATCAGAATTTACTTCCATCCATGTCATTTCTTTTGCTTCAGCGTCTCCAGGTGAACAAGGAGTTAAGTATTTTTTAATGACTTCAGGATCATCGAAAGAAGGTGCTTCCTTCTTTTAAATCCAACATTTAACAATGAAATCACTTAGCGTATAATAACATGATACAAAAATCGAAACGTATAAAGTGTAACATACCGATTTGAAATGTGTTGCAGTCTGAACTTTACGAATAGGTTGCATTAAGGCATCACGTACCACAACGGCAATATCAGAACCTGAATATCTATAATCACAAAGTGAACATTAAAAAAATTGAAAATGAAAATCAAAATACCGAACGTGATAGTCATACCCTTCCGTCATTTCGGCCAAATGTTTATAATCATTAAGTGTCAAAGTACAAGGTGTATTACCAACATTTAATTCAAACATTTTAGCCCTTGCAGATGCTTCTGGAAGTGGTATGTAAATCCTTTTTTCAAATCGTCGCCTAATAGCACTGTCCAACTGCCAAGGGGTATTTGTTGCACCCAACACAAGGACTCCAGTTGGGTCATTTCCTACACCGTTCATCTGAACGAGAAACTCTGTTTTAATTCTTCTACTTGCTTCACTTTCACCTTCACCTCGTTGTCCACAAAGCGAATCGACTTCATCGATAAAAATAATAGCTGGCTTACTCTCACGGGCCATTGTAAAAAGATTCTTAACAAGTCTAGAATTCTATCTTATTAGTGTCTTATTTTCAAACTTATTATTATAAAGTTTGAATATAAATTTATTGATAATAATTACCGTTCACTTTCGCCCATATATTTGCTCACCAAATCTGAAGATGAAACTGAAAAAAAAGTAGAATTTGCTTCAGTAGCAACTGCTTTTGCAAGATAGGATTTTCCAGTGCCAGGAGGGCCATATAATAAAATACCCGACCATGGTTTCCGTTTGCCTTAAACATCATTAAGATAAATTTTAATTAAGTGAAATAATAAACCATGTGATAATATATATCTTTAGTAATTTCTACCAGTAAATAATTGAGGAAACTTGATAGGTAAGATAACAGCTTCTTTTAATGCTTCTTTAGCTATTTCCAATCCAGCAACATCTTCCCAACGAATATTAGGCTTTTCGGTCAAGATAGCACCTATGAGTTAGAATAAATTATATAATTTCGGAAACTATCGAGTAATTTATTTAAAGTTTTTTATAATCTAATTACTTGTCAATGCTCCTCGTAACTTTTTGCTTTCTTCATCATCATCTTCGCTATTTCCATTTTTCTTCCTGCAAATTAATCAATATTTTAAGATGTAATAATCATGATTTACGAGTAATGGTTATTTTGAAATTTAAATCATACAGACTTCCCCTTTCCGCCGTCTTCCCCATTTGCTTTAATGGCTTTTTTATTTGAGCTTTCTTTAGATTTATCTTTACCGTTTAAATATTCCTTTAATTTTTCAGCCCGAGAGAGGTATTCGATCATCTTCTTACGTATAGAATCTTTTCTTTGTTCATTTTTCTCATCTAATTATATAATTAAAATAGATTTTATAAGCGAGAAGATTTGAACACCTATCAAGCATGACTTGTACAACACAACTAACTTTTTGTATTAAAACAAAAAAAAACCTTGCAGGTGAAGCCATAAGTAAAGCTTATATTGTATAAATGTGTATGATAGAAATTAAAAATAAACCAACTTTAAATGAACATACATACATTTTAACGCCTTGAAGAAATAGTCTAAAGCATTATTATAATGTTTATAGGCTTGTTCGTATTCTCCTCTACCGTCTTCATCAATAGCTTTTTTAATTATTTTTACGGCTTCCTAAAAGTTATCGTTGTTAAGAAAATATTCGATTTATTGAAAATTTATAATTAAACTATAAGACGAAAATAGAAATAAGATTTTATTTACATCAATAAAGTTACAATTGGCCATTATTCTGTTAGTTGATTATAATATAATTATGCTTGGTAAGAAATCACTTCGAAAAAGAAAACTGTGTTTATTTTATTAAATCGAATTAATTTTTTACCATAAATATAAACACGTGACAGTACATAGATATAAATAACCCGAAACATCGAGAACATGAATTCTCAAAAATGTCATTCCGCAGCATTGATATTGATTCTTTAGACGAAGACATATTAGGTCAAGATGAACTTTTCGTTTTCTCTAATGGAGTTGAAATTACCCCAGAAAGTGCCGCAAATAATGTGAAAACAAAAGGAATTGAGGTTAGGAACCATCTAACAAGGTAGGTTTTAAATAAGTTTTTATATTAAAGGAGAAATCTATTTTTAAATAATAATAATTTCTAACTTCCCTTTAGGGGTGACACAACTAATGCATTAATAACAGCAATAGAAAATCCTCCGTACGGACTTCATACAATAGATGCTAAAGTATGTTTGCTCAATTAATAATTTCTATAAACCTAAATAAAGTTTATATCTATATTTATAATTCAATTGATATTTAATAAGGATCAAAATACCACAATTGTAATGGAAGTTCTAAGTTCTATTAAAGCTACCGATATTCCATCGTTAGTGAAATTATTATCTAGGGAACAGCAAGATATTTTAATGAAATATATTTATCGAGGGATGTCGTCGCCCGATAAACACAACAATTCAACCGTATTATTGAATTGGCATGAAAAGGTCAGAATGCGTTGATATTCCTTTGATTAATATTATATTGTCAAAATATTGGCAATTTTTAATTTTAAAAATACTCTGTTTTATTTTTAGCTTACAGAAGTTGCTGGTGTGGGATGCATCGTTCGTGTAATTACAGATCGAAAGACCGTTTAAGTTGAAAATTGTATAAATATAAACAAGAAAAAATGTTTAAATTTGAATAAGAAATGTAATAATAATTATGATAATAATCATTCATTTGATTCAAAATAATTAATAAATAAATATTATTAAATACTATGTATTATATATAATCAAAGTGTTTCTGAATTAGTTGAATCAGTAAAATCACTGAAATCACTAAAATCATTTGGCGAGGGAGGCCTTCGACTATTTTGTTTTTTTCTAATAAAGGCAGCAGAAGGTGGAGGCGGTAAAAGAGGAACAGCTGTTATATTTTCGTCTACGCTTTTAGAATGGTTTGACTTATGATGTATATTCCGCGTTTTATGCTATATTATAAAACAATAATTTCATCCCATATTAGAAAAAATATTTTTGTAGGATTTAGAAAAGGTAATTCTCAATAATGTTATTATTACATTGCCAATTTTTATGCTAATCGTTTGCCCTTCCTTTAAACTATAATCCTTCTTTGGTTCTGGTGAAGCATTCTTAGCGTCAGCAACCTCCTTTTCTATTTTAAGATGTCTAATGATACAGATTTAATGTTATTATTATTATTATTATTATTTTAAAAAGAATAAAATAACATTACTTGATATGATCTTGTAAAGCTACTTGAAAATCAAACGCTTCAGAACGTTCTTGAAATCCCATGCCTACAAATGCATGTCGTCCATTATCTTCTACACGTAACACAAAATATCTACTTGAATCGCGTACAGGTTCAACTGTATTAGTATCGGGATCATATATACATTGTGCGAATAATTCTCCTGATATAATCAATAAATTAGATTATATAAAAATTTCTGATAAATTATTTAATGTCAAAAGTAAACGTAATCATCTACCTGTGGTCCCATCTTCTAATTTAATAATACACTTTTCCCCTACTGAAATAACTCTTAAACGACCTTTCCATAAAAAAGCTTCCATATCACCCCATTCTGACGCTCTAAATTTTATTGAAAACTTGAGCTTAATCAATGATATTCTCGATATTTATCAAGAACTTACTTGTATTCTCGACTAGATGTTCTCGGTGGGATTTGATATACTAAAATTCATAATATAAGCTCAGCGTATTTAAATAATATAAAAAAAACTTTAGGACTCTCAATTAAACTTACCATAACATTCACGAATTACTAAAAGTACACTTTCGTATTCGTCTGACATAGAAAATGTTAAACTTGTTTGCACTATTAAGAAAAAAAAATGAATTAAAAGATCAAAAACGAAAATTTGGTTTGATTTGGGGGCACGCTAGTATATTTATGGATATTGCTAAGCCACAGATCAACGACATATAACTTGAAATTTTTTTATTTAAAACAACGAAATTTGTCACTGGACAAAAATAATAAGCAATGAAAAACATGGTGGTTCGTTTTAGCACCTTTGAAGACGAAGAAGAGGAGGAACACATTGAAACTAGCTCGATTTCGGGAAATTCTAATCGTCGTAACCATGGTGGATATAGCTCACATATTCAAGGTCAGATCTTTGTTTTGCTTGGGTTCGATGAGCCTCGAAAACAAGAATTAGAAAACGAAATAGTGCAACATGGTGGGAGAGTCTCACCCAAATTTAGTATACAGGTCAATTTCAATCTAATCTTTATGTTGTATTTGTTTTAAATTAATTTATTTTTCAGGTTTTTTTTTTTATAAATATATATAAAAACACATATATTTATTAAATATATATCTTTTATTTCAACTTACAGACGAATTTTCTTGTAACAACCAGTACATATTATAATAGAAATTTAAAATCAATTGATGATATGGTCAAAATTAACAATATACCTGTCATTTCTGATGAATGGATTTACACAGCGATAGCAAGTAATGATGACTACGAGGATATCAGGTAAACGAGCAGTTGTCATATGAATATTTGATTATTAAATAACCATATTTACGATAAAAAATTTTTTTTTAAAAAAAAAAAAAGTGATTCAAATCGCGGTATACTACACATTAATAATTATGATGACGACGATGACGACGACGACGATGATGATGATGATGATGATGATGATGATGATGATGATGATGATCATCATCATCATGACAGTCAAGGTCATAAACATAATGAAAATGTTAGAAGGCGTCCTTTGCAAAATCAAAGCAATGGGAAGCAGAGTAAACATGTTTTTGATTGGGATCAAGACTCTAATGATTCGGATGATTCCGATATTGATAGACTTATCATAAACGATTTTCAAAATAATGAAAATCCGGAAGAAAATGATTCAACTAATAATCATACATCAGTATCATCTCATGAAATGCAAGATAGAATGCATTGGCAGAGCTTTTTGTCATCAGTGCTTACCGGTGAAGTTATTAAGTCGGAAAAACGTCGTTTATCCGGTTCAAATGCTAAAGCAGCTAATTTAAATTCTCAAATTTGGTTGGGAATCCGTGCTATAACGCGTGGTCATACTCCAGCGGAAGAAAAGTCGATTATTGAAGAGAAACGACACTCAATTGATATAGTACTTAAAGAAGTTATCGAATTTGAGGTAAAACCTGGTGACATGTCTGCTCTTGATCAGGTTGCTGAAATACTTCAAAGAATTGACGCATGTGAGAACCTTTATTATTCACGTAAAGCAATGATGACCGAAAAACCTTTATATAAGTCTCAAGAATTTCAATATAGCTTGGATGCTCTCAATTCATGGCTAACTGTAACTCGTAGTTTACAAACACAACTAAAAATATTACAAAATTGGACAGGGAGTGAAACTTTGGAAATCACTCGACCAAAAGATGTTCCAGCTGATGCAGAAAATCCTTCGTTTCTTGAACGAATATTAAAAGAAAATAGTTTGAAACAAACTTTTGAAAAACGAATGCTGGCAACATTAGATATTCTTGTATTAAAAGCAAAGTGTGTAATGATAGAGAATGCTGTTGCCTTTTCTAAAATGAAATTACCTCCTTACATCAATGAATTACGACAACTTCTTAACTTTCCTACGAAACTTATTGAGGAATGTATGAAATTATTACTTACATATTCTAACCGTTTATCCGAGCCCACCATTTTAATGGTTCAACAGATGATGGAAAATTTACGGATTTCCCTTTCATTAGCTTGTCAAATTAAGCATCAATATCATGAGCTTATCAAACCTGAAAAAGGATGGGATATTCCTCCATGTATTGATGAAAATTATAATACGGTTTTGTTAGACTCGTTGAAATGTTACTTTAAGTTGTTGCAGTGGAAACTCAAAATTGGATATAAGACCGTATCCTTTAAAGAAGCAGAAATTTTAGAAAGTGAATGGCCTTTTTTAAGTGGTATATGTCGTCATATTGTAGGAGGTGATTCTGAAACTGCTATGCAATTTTGGTGAGTGTCATATTTTAGTGTTTAAAAAATTTTAAAGCGATAAGTTATATCAATATCTCTCTATATGATAGGAACTTTTTTATCAAAAAAAAAAAAAAAAAAAAAAAAAAAAGTGGATCGGTTAAATAGTTAATAAATTTTTCACTTAATTCCACTTAATTATAACAATTTTTGTAGTTCTCTAACAAATAAATTGCTTTTGAGTGTCATGACTTATTATGATAAAGAGCTTGAATTAGCTTCGGAATATGAGTCTTCAGACATAACGAAATGGTATAATAAACTTTTGGAAACTGTACGTTTAAGAACGAGGAAATTGATCCGATTTGCAAGGTATAGTATTTAAATAAATAAATCTTTATTTTTTTTTTATTTATATTTATATTAATCGATAATTTATCATTTATATAGATTTCTATTTGGTGAACTAGAAAACGCTGCAGAATATTTTATTGATGATAACAATTACCAAGCTTTTATCGATGGATTAGAACGAACTGGTCACGTTCTTGTATATCCTAGCACCTTTGAAGTCGATGGTGTATGCTTTATTGTTGAACCATCACTTCAGGATCGACCTCAACAAATACACAAGTTACTTACCTCTGTCTTTACATCTTATGAAAAAAAAGGGCAGGATAATTTTGATGATGAATTAAAAGGACTAGAATATGTACTACTTTTGTCACCAAGAGTAGAATTTGTGTGGAAAGGTCATAATCAGGCCGTATATATGGAACAGCTTAATGTTGAACTCAAAATTGCTCGTACAAGGCTAGTTGCTGATGGTGCTTACCCAAGGCTACAAGCATGCAAACAACATTTTCGTAAAGCCGTTGAAGGTTGTGGGATTGAAGTTCTTTTTGAAACAAGGGCCAATGTGCCTTGTATTAATCGTGAGATGACTAAGATTAAAAAAACCGTTTTCAAATTCGCTAATAAAATAATTGATAGCGTTTCGTTTATTAAAGAAAAAACAAAGGATAATGTATGTCAAGATTTGATCGAAAACTGTTTTAGTTTTGCGACTGAAATGGGTCAACGTTGTTTACGCTATATGCATCGAGATGCTGTGCGTGCTCAACTAAATGTTAAATTAACTCGGATGGCCATAGATTGGGTTAGTTTTATTTGTGATCATTGTATTGCTACAGATCGCAAAACATTTAGATGGGCCGTTATTGCATTAGAATTTGCAATGGCGACAAATCGTGGAAATAACATTTTAGGTTTAACAGAAAGCGAATTTTCAATGTTACGTAGTAAAGTATCAAATTGCATGAGGTTACTTATATCCCATGTAGATATTATGGGTGCGAAATCATCCTCCGAAGCTTTAGAACGAGAGCGACAAGATATAGCCGGTCATCAAATTGATCATTTAGTATCATCACCACTTCGACAAAATAACAATATTTATAGTGGTGAGGATCCTTTAATCATGAGAGATGAATGGATGGCCTCATTAAATGAATTGGAAGCTAAACGTTACGAAAAAGAGCAGGATCAACGTCTAGTTGGTAAAGTTCTTGATGATAATCAACCTGAAAATCGGCCTTTAGTCTTTTTAGCATCTTCCTGTTCAAACATCTCCTTACGATGGCAACAAGGCAAGTGTATCGGAGGTGGTACTTTTGGATCAGTTTATTTGGCTGTCAATTTAGATACAGGTGATCTCATGGCCGTCAAAGAAATACGGTTTCAGGATCCATCCTCACTTACAAAGCTTTATAAGTCGGTTAAGGATGAAATGTCAGTTATGGAAATGCTTGATCATCCAAATATTGTTTCATATTATGGTATTGAAGTACATCGAGATAAAGTATATATTTTCATGGAGTATTTCCAAGGTGGTAGTCTTGCGTCTCAATTGGAACATGGAAGAATCGAGGATGAACGTGTCATTCAATATTATGTATATCAAATGTTGGAAGGGTTAGTGTATTTGCATGAAAACGATATAGTTCATAGAGACATAAAACCTGATAGTAAGTTTTCTATTTTCTAATTTATTATTGTTTACTAATTATTATTATTAAAATTTATATATATCTATATATATCTATATTTTTTTCCTTTTCCCATCATCAAGATATACTATTGGATCATATGGGCGTGATAAAGTTTGTGGATTTTGGAGCAGCAAAAGTTCTTGCAAAAAACCAAAAAACCATGGGTAGGACCACAATGGCACAAACTAAATCCAATGTTCATAGCTTAACTGGTACTCCAATGTATATGGTTAGTTGATTTAATGATAAGCATGATTGATATACTATTAAAAATTTTTTAACAAATTAATGGTTATTTTAATAAATTTAGGCACCAGAAGTAATAACTGGAGGAGAAAAAGGTCGTAAAGGCTCAATGGATATATGGTCGTTAGGATGTTGCGTATTGGAGATGGCAACGGGGAAGCGCCCTTGGTCAAATTTGGATAACGAATGGGCGGTTATGTTTCACGTAGTTACAGGACATCCATCTTTACCAGATCCCTCACAATTATCAAAGGAAGGAATTGACTTTTTAGAAAAATGTTTTATTAGATCACCACAACAACGTCCTTCCGCTAAAGAATTACTAAATCATCCATGGATTGACGCAGGTAAAGAACCAATTAGTACGACAGCATCGGGTGACTGGGCGATTAATGGTAGTATGGTGAGTACAAGTGGTACTAGCGGAACGAGTATCTCAAACTCAGCATCCGCCACGATGCTTAACAATAGTACTCATACAAATCCTTTTAGCAATATATCAACGCAAATAATGGACTCAACAACGCAGACTTTAGAACACGTTAAAGGTGAACATTTGTCGACATCAATATCAGCGGTTAATCATTCAAAAGAACAACAGATATTCATGATGAAAGAAGGATTACCATCTAGTACTTCAGTAATATCTGTTGAAAGTGAAGGTGACGATGATGGAATTAGTCGTGCCAATTCCAATCATAACTTTGTTGAAATTGGAAATAATAATCCAGTAGCTTCAGTAATGTGATTGGAGTTTAATTGGTTGAAGTTTTTAACGAATAATTAATTAATGATTATACAATATATATTTTTATATCTTTATTTATTATATTAATCTTAGAACCAAAATATCCGAATTTTTTTAATTATGATGACAGTTTTAATCGACAGATTTTCAGTTTTTTTTCTAATCATATGATAGACATAAATTAAATCATTATTATTTAAAATTTACATAATTTCCTTTTGAATGAATTTATTTGTTTGACAAAACAAACTAGTAATGGTGCGTCATGCACAGTTAACGTTATACATACTTTTTTATATATATATTTACACATGCATTCGTAAAATACACAAAAAGTATTATTTTTTCGGGGAAAAAAAATTTTACCAAGTTTTTTTTTTAAATTGTAAATATTTCAAAATAAGTTTCTTTTTAAACGTAAACGTATGTCTTTAAAAAGAGAAACTCTTTCGATACTTTCATCGCAAGTAGCATTGAAAAAGGATAAAGACTATATTCATTTTTTGTTTTTTTGTTAAAATAAAAAAAATATTAAACAATAAAAATAAAATAAAAGTGAATATGGAACGAAGCATAACGTTTTGGTTATTTTTAACGATACTATATTCACATAGCGTAAATCTAAATATACCAGAACTTGGTAATTTGGTTTTGATTAAAGTATTGATTGCTTTAGGTTTTGGACTGGTTCATAAACTTAAAGTTCACTTTTCAAAACATTATATAATAATAATAAGAAACCCACTTACAAACGAAAGGTTTTCGTTATTATCTTCGGTAAGTTTTTTTTTAAAAAAAAAAAAATTGCATACATAGAAATTAGAATTATTCTCACATATTTTTCAATTTAATCTTGATAGACTTGTAGCACCTATATAACATCATTATTAATTGACGAAGATTTGTCAAAAGAATCAAATACATCATCACCAATATCACCAACATCACCACCACCAACGTATGAACGTCAACATCAGCAAAATACTTTGATTGCTAGAATGCAAGAAGAAAATCGACAATTATTATCAAGGTTAGCTGACCTTGAAAATGAAAAGACGACTAGTAATAGCGAAAACGAAGATGATGATTATAGTAAACGTTTACGTGGTTTAAATAGATCACAGTCACGATCTAGATCACGTAGCAGTAATAAATACAAATATTCACAAAGTAATACTGGTACATTAAGTAGTAAACATGCATCTAGTGTATTTTCAGCATCAACATCAGTAAATGGAACCATTTATACGGACATCACAAACTATTCATTTGATTTTGAGGAGATAAATTCAGAGATGGCAGATAATAATTGGGAGGTTATTGACGAAAGGGCCGAATCACAAAATAAACATCTTTATTTATCCAAAATTAAGAATTCCGTAGAAGAATTTGATACACGGGATGTATTTAATATGAAACAAATTAATTCTGGTGCATTGGGTAAAATTTATAAATGCACACATCGAAAAACACAACAAATATTTGCGATGAAATCAATAACTTTATCCTCTTCAAAGCTTCTCAATGTAACATACTCGGAAATCATGGCTTGTCGTCGATTACGTCACCCAAACATAATACAAAATTTTAAACAATATATTTACGAGGATTACTCTTCAACAATTGATTATAATGCCGAATTACCTAATTACGTATTATGTTTATTAATGGAACATTGTGAACCGGGTTCTTTATGGGATGTAAGACATAAACGACCATCAAAAAGGTTAACTGAACAAGAAATTGCTTTTGTATGTAGAGAAGTTTTAAAAGGTTTAGAATACATTCATTCAATGGGAATAATCCATAGAGATATTAAAGCTCAAAATATTTTAGTAACAAATAATGGTACAATTAAGATAGCTGATTTTGGTTCTTCCTCTTTACATTCAAGAGCTTCATTAAAACTTGGTACTTTATATTGGATGGCACCTGAAGTATTACGTAATCAAATTTATAATAGCAAAGTTGATATATGGTCTTTAGGTATTATGGCAATAGAATTAATCGATGGACGTCCTCCTTGGTTTCCATTAGGTCAAAGAAAGGTTGTCGAATTAATAAGAACGGTAGGAATTCCTCCACTTCCTTCAAATATATCTTTGGATTTTGAAAATTTTTTGAGGGATTGTCTTAAAGTAAATCCCGATGAAAGGCCATCCGCTACTGATTTATTAACCCATCATTTTTTAAGAGAATTCTCTTCTAATATTGAAAATTTTCATTTGTAAATTATCAGCATACATATATATATTAAAAACAAATGTGTTATAAATTTTTTATAATTATTAATAATTATTTATTTATTCATTGAAACTTTAAAAGTAATTATTTATAAGATCTCAATATTTCTGTTTCAAATAAATTTATTGTATAAATATTATATTTTTCATATGATTGATTGAAATTGTTGTTTGTTAATGAAAGTAATAAATACTAAAAAATGTTTTGAGAGGCGGAAATTTTATCTAATTCTTGGTTCCTAAGCTAATCTTATGCATATGAATGTGATCGGTCATGTAGACCAATAAAAAAAAAATGGTTTTGACAAAATTACTGGCAATATATTATTTTTCATTCTTTTTACATATCGATATATATTTAAAAAAGATAAGAATTATGACTAAATATTTATTAAAAAATTTCTATTTTGATCAAAATAATGAAACTATAAAGATTTAATTTTTATTATATCTAACCTTTATTCAAGATATTTGCAAATTTTAACAATATATTACACAAATTTGGTAGCTTTAACATTATACCAAATTTGGCAATGAATTATAATTACACTCATTCTAGAAAATAAAAATAAAAATGACAGAATTTTACACTATTTTGACAAAGTTAACTATGGAGGATAGCAGCATTTAGAAAGTATAATATAAGAAAATATATAATTTTATTAAATTCTAAAAGCAAAATATAATTTTAAGAAAATATATAATTTTGAAAACTGTTTATTAAATTCTAAAGACAAAAACATTTTACATTCTCATATTTTCAACTTTTTATTGTTTCCAAAATCTCCTTCGCCATTTTCTGACTTTTCTGCTACCTCTTTTTTTATCTGTCTAGAATACCTACTTATCCATCCTTAATGGTTTGTACTTTTAGAATTTTATTTCTATTTATCTCTTCTTTATCAGCCAAATTAACCAGTTCATTATACATATCTTGCTCAGAATAACAGTCACTTTTGTTGGAATTTCCCGCTAAAAAAAACCTTATAACAAAAACACTATTTCTTTGAAAATTTGTGCACCAGCACCTTTGCGCTCAAATTTCTGGTTTCCTTTAAATGCCCATCCTAATTGTAAGTATTCATTTCTTCAAAAATAGTCATAATATAATAGAATGATTGGTATATAATATTAATATCATATATTACAAAACAAATATATTATGTTCAGAGTCACAATAACCTGTTAATTTCTAAACCCGTTTGTTCATCTGATTGTGTAATATATGTTTTGCCTAAAATTTGCAAGATAATGTTAATCAGTAATTTAAATGGATAATTAAAAGTTGGTTTATTTATTACTAATCCGTTATTGCCGTTATTGGTTGCATTTAATTATTTTTTCTAGAAAGGTGAATTTGAAGTTGGGATGCTAGATCAATTTGACTAGTATTCTCTTGGTAAGCAACATTTTTTTCATCAAGTTTATTTTTCAATATTTGTTTTTTTAAGTTAGCAGGATCTAATTTATAATATTTATAGTAATTAACAGATAAAGTTTGTTGATCCACAAAGTATTACAATGAGAATTGAACTTGTAAATTTATTTCTTTATTAATTTCTTGGTAATTTTTTACCAATTTCAAATAAAATTTATATATATTATGTAATTTTTAAAATGAAATTAATTCAATAAATAATGCATCTGATCCATATGATTTAGGTATTATTCATGATGTTAATGGAGTTGTGGAGTTGATATATCTGATGTAGATTTAATAAACTGTACTAGAGAATAATAAGTTCATTCTCCAATATTTGGTATTGCTTATTTTTTTATTCATTCTACATATTCATTATCCTTCGGTTATTGCCATTCATATAAATTTGATATTCTTATCAATATTTTAGTAGTTTTCTTATTTTTTTGATGATTAGGTGTTATTTATGTGACAGAAGTACCATCTAAATTAAAAATAGCAGATTGTATGTCTGAATCTTCTTTAAAATTAAAATTAACACAAATATATCACTTAATAGCATATGCAATCTGTTGTAAAACGTGATGTTAGTATTGTAAATAAATAAAAAACAAAATTTATAAACTCTATATATAGAGTTTAACATATTGATACATAATGAGAGTCTACAGTTATTTTCGCCTCTCCTGACTTCAAAAATATTTAGCTTTTCACATCAATTTTATACCAATTATACTAATGCACTATCAGCATCATCAGTTGTAAATTATAGTAGTGAGCTCTATTATCTGAGATAATTTTAATCCATTTTGATTTACACTCCATAGTTGTAAATATAGCATCAAAGCAATTTGCAGTAAACTAAGACTCTTGAGTTCTATCTTCTGACCAGTGATCATATGCTTGAATATTAAGATTGCCATCATTATTATTTTGAAATACTAATATTATATGTAATGTCCATCCAGATTTTCCAAAAAATTCTTTTTTTGTTTCTCATGCATTTTTTTTTAATATTTCATTTTATAATCAGCAACTATTAATGTGTTATCATCATTTAATTCCAGTAAAGAAGCTTTAAATCAAGCATTCAAATATACCTTAAGAGTTTGATGAGCAAGATAATAAATCAGTTAATCTTGATATTTTTTCAATTGTTCAGAAAAGTCATTTCCAAGTTGCATTGCAAGCTTATTAAACAAATCAAAAAGCTGAAAGTATTGTGAATATCTTTAAAAATGCTCTAATTTACAATCACCAAAAGTAAATAACAAATAATAATTGATGCATTTATCATGAGAGGTAATATCAAGCTCGTTTACATAAAATTCTTTTTTATAATTTTGCTTGATATATTGCTAAATCTTCTCAATTTTTTGAATCAAATGATTCTTATATAAAAAAAAGAATTTATTAATAAAAATAAAATAAATGCAATAAACTCAAAGTTTTGCAAATATTTACCTGCACATTCTTATTTGAAATATATATATTAATAAATGCGCATAAATCCTCAAATACTTGATAACTGTATTCACTATATATAATACATAACCTCCTAAATTCTCACGGTATCTAAATAACCCATTAGTAAGTAGGGTTTTTGTTTAAAATTCAAATTGAATTTCAAATATTTGAAAGTGTTTTAAAAAATATTCAAACAAATATTGAAATTATTTCAAATATCAAAAATCATTTCAAATATCGAAATTAATTCAAATATGGTGGCTATCACCTATAAACCACACTAATATTGTGTAACTCTAAAATTTTATAAGTAGAGAATAAGATAATAAAGTATAAATTCAAACCGATAAAATAATAAAGTAGAACAAGCTGAACATTTTTATTGGTTTATTTTTGCAAAATATTATATAAAATTTTAATTTATTTTAGTTTAAAATTCGGTAATTTCTTATATGATGTATATGCTAAGTAGGCAAATTTCGGATTAGGGATCGGCGATTTGTATTGCATATGACAAACGAATTTTCATATGATAAACGTATTTTCATATGATAATCGTTATTTTTTATTTTTCTCATATATTTGATCATGACCCGCCCATCGAAAAGAAAAATTAGCGCAAAAGAACAAGAACGAGAAAGTAACGGAAGGTTCGCAAAAAAAGCACAGATCATTGATGATTGGGGAGATGATGAAGACAGTAGTTGGGATGACCACAATAACAGTTGGGATGACCACGATAATAGTTGGGATGGCCACGATAATAGTTGGGATGATGATTTGTCAAATGAAAAAAAAGTTGAAGTTGAGTTAGTTTGGTCAAATGATGCACATTTAGAAAAAAAGCGTGGATCTTACCTTACTGGAAAAACGAAGAAATCAACTTATTTTGATAAATATGGGCCAAGTGGCTCTTTCACGAAAGCTGCAAAAGGAACCGCAAAAATAACAACATTTTTAAATAAAAGTTTGGTTCCAGATGACTTTGATGAAATTTTTGACGAATTAGAAAATGAACGGAACAATCAACTTGATTTGAATGAAAGAATCGAACAATTGAAAAAGGAACTTAAAGAACAGCAAAAATTACTAACAGTAACCGAGTATAATAAAAAAAAAGCTGTTTTTGAGTATTTGAACAGATTGGATAATAATAGAAAGAGGAAACAAAAAGCCAGTATGGAGGCCGCGCAGCTGATTTTTATTGAAAGTGCACCATATAGAGCAAGGACTATCTGATATTGGGCAAATTATTGGCTTCAACATAACCATCTTCCAATAAGCCATCAGGGTAAGCATCAAAAAACAATACGGTTGATTG